TGATAACTTAATATAATATTTATTTGTATATATAATTTATTATAAAATTTATTTATATATAATAAATATTTTTTCTATGAAATCCACATGTTAAAAAACTAGTTTGTGAATAAAAATAAATTAAATTTAACATCATTTCTGTCAAATTCTATATCGGATTAGAGGAAATTTGCAAGAAATTTGTTTCATATTTTAAAAAAATTAAATAAATCATATATTAAGTTATCAAATATATTTTAATTCAAATAATGCATAAAAAATTAAAGAAAACTTAAAAAATATATGCAAAAAAATTAAAATAATGAAATCATATATTTCCTTTGTTTTTATTTATAATTTTAATGTATATATATATATAGAATAAATTTATTTTATCAACTAAATTAATTATTTTTTATAATTTGATGGATTAAGTAATTAGGTATTTTATGAAGCAAGGCAAAGTGGAAAACTGAAACAACATTGAAAAAATATTGCACCTGGAAAAATCCAAACTCCTCAGAGGATTTGATAATGTTCCTTACGATATCATCATGATCTTGTCCTTGAAGATCAATTACCGGAATGTTCAGTCCGGTGGCCAGAACAGCGTTGCCGGGTCTTCTGTCTGGTGGTTGCACGTAAGATGATGGCACTGTAGATTCAAGATTGTACCAGCTAGACAAAAGCTTGCTCTCCATCTTCACTAGTATAATGTAACACTGGGGAAATAATACATGTGTAAAATCTTATAATGTTCATCGTATTTATATTGTTATTGTAATACAAATGCAATGATAATATTAACGTGTGTACAATGGTAAGTACATTCATAATTCAATGGTGACTATGTATCTTCTCCATATGCAAATATGGAATTCATTCTCTCACTTACTTCCTCTAGCTACTTTATGATTTATATTTAGAAAGTTTATTAATCAAATTTGTTTAATACATTTATATTATTTATATAACATATTTTTGTAATATATCTTTATTAATTTCAAGATTTTGTTCTTAAATAATTTACTTTAAGAATATAAATTTTTATTTTATGTCTAATAACTAATAAGGAATATGTTTTGAAATTTTTTTTACGAATACCATTTCTTCAAATGTTTTGTTTGATTTCAAATATATTAAGAATTTGATTTTAACGAAGATAGAGAGTAACAATATGTTCTATTTCTTTATATAAAAAGGACAGAAATATGACTTTATGAATAATTTAGATAAACTCCATAAACAGTTGTAGAAAAATAAAAATAATAACTAATACAAATGATAATAATTCTATGATCGGTGGAAGTTCTAAAAATTTTGATAAAATAATTAATATTAATATTCTTTTCTTAATTTCTATATGATGTTGACACTTTTTAATGAGTTCTTGACAATTTTTTATTTTTTTTTTGCAAAATCCTCCTCCATGAGAACAACAACAATTCAAAGTCATGGAAGAGATTTGTTCGTTTTTTAAAGCTAAATCTTAACTTCTATAACTTTTTTTTTAAAAAAGAATTATTTTTATTGCCAAAATTATTCTTAATAAAGTGAAAAGAGAGAGAGAATTAATTTTAATAATTGTAAAATAATCTATAATGACTCTTAATATATTTTAAGTTTAATAATTATTATATTAGACATCTTTTCATTAAAAGTCATTCCTTAAATACACAAATCATTATTAAATTATAATAATCTAATAATATAAGCATTTGTGAATTGAATGTAAAAATTATTATGAATTAAATTATATATAAAAAATTGAAATAAAAAATTAATATTTGTGAACGCTGATATCATTTGAAAATGAGTTTTCATATTTTGATATTGTTTTCATAATTATGAACACAACGTTAATTAATTTGTTGCGAGAAAAATGTTGCAGGTGATTCATAATAATATTGTGCATTAATATATTTTTATTTATATCTTATTTTATTTGAGAAACATATGGTTAGAAATTAATATATAACTATCTTTTTTTATTAAGTTCAAAGAATAATGTTTTTAAGAAACATAGTTTACGTAACTATCTTTTTTTATTATGTTCAAAGAATAATGTTTTTAAGAAACATATTTTACACACGTACTAGTTGTAGAAATAGAAGGTAAGAGATAAAATGAGAACAAATAAATTTACTTTCCAGGAAGAAGCAGATATGTCAAACATCAATGGTTAATATAACTTACATTCCACCAGCGATACAAGGAACGGGAAGATATCATAGAAACCGATAGTTATGGTAGCTTAGAAGAAAGTGAGTCAGTGACTTAATTAGAAGACATGTTTCGTATGTAATTTGATGAGCTCAAATAAAGGGTTTTAGCTTTTTGATTGTATCTGAAACTGTCATTGCAATTTTCTTAAACTAGTATATAAATTTGAAAATAGCAAAGGAATTCCTGCTTCAGTCTACTTGTGTCTAATCTCGACTCCATAACTCTACAAGAAACTGATATAGAACTACACAAGACAACTCTATACAAAAGAGCCATTTATCATCTTCAATTTTCTCTGTGCAATCTTAGAAAAATATCTGACAACATAGATGAGGACAGATCAATAGATAGAGGAAGCTTTGTCACATAAAACATAGTCATCTCACACTTAACTTTTAATGGAACCACTACACATGAGCAACATATAAACATTGTATAAATTTGAAAGGAATGCAAGAAATCCAGCAATGATTTGTTGTTTTAGCTTTAATTGCATTCGATTTGTACGACTATAAATGTACGTTTGATTGGTCACACTACATGCTTGTAAAAACTTCATTCTTGCTTTATGTTAGGATTCCTCCTTAATTGGAGAGGTTCTAGAAAATTCTAGACTTTCTAGAGAAATATAGAATTTTCTAGAACATTCTAGAAAATCCTAGAGAATTGTAAAATTCTCTAGAAGCTTGTGGAATAGTGTGGAACCCTCTGGAACATTCTAGAGATGTGTGGAACCTTCCGGAACCTTATAGAAGAGTATAGAAGGATATAGAAGGGAGTAAAGATTCCTGGAATGTGTGGAGCATTCTAGAGAACCAATCTCAACCCTTGATCCCCACCATTCATTTTGAAGGTGGAGTAGTATAAATAGGGGTAGGAGGCTTCATTCCTATCAATCCAAGCCAAGAGTGAATCCACTTCTTAGAGTGAGAAAGTGAGAAAGCCTCTTTGTGAGAGAAGAGAGATAGTCTCAAGTTTGAGTGTGCCACCATAGAGTGAGTCAATTTTGTAATTACATTCTTGTAATCCTACTATTCTTTTGTATAGTGGAAGAATCTCCATATTGGAGAATTTAACTCGTGTGCTCCCATTACTACCTTTAATTTCTAAGTGCCTATCTTAACTTCACGAAGCGGGAAAGTCCGAGTTTTCCCAACAGTTGTATCAAAGCTTGGTTCATCAAAAGTTGTCATTAGCTCGTGCAGTTCAAGATGGAGGACAACATTGCTAATGATGGAGACATGTTCAAGCTTACTGCCAATAATTATTCATATTGGAAGCCAATGATGGAGGATCATTTATATTGCAAGGATTTGCATGAGCCCATCATCTATAAAGAGAAGGTGGAAGGCAAGAGCGATGCTCAGTGGGAGCTATTGAATCGGAAGGCCGTTGCTATGATCCGTAAGTACATCGACAAATCTCTCTTTGAGCATGTTTCTACATACACAAATGCTTATGAATTATGGGCAAAGCTTGAGTCCATGATTCAAAAGAAAACACCTCGTAACAAAGCCAATTTAGTTCGTCGATTGGTGAAGTTGGAGTATAAGGATGGTCATAGTATGATTGAGCACTTGAATAACTTCAAGGGGCTTGTAAATCAATTAACCAAAATTGAGATGAAGATTGATGATGAGTTGCAAGCCCTTCTACTCCTTAGTTCCTTACCGAAAAGTTGGGACACGTTAGTAGTTACACTTAGTAACTCTGCTCCTGAAGGAAAGTTCACTATGGATGTTGTTAGTGATAGCCTTCTTGGAGAAGAATCGATGAGAATGGAACGAGGTGAGTCTATCCATCCCGAGGCTAATATTATTGAAAACCGGGGAAAGAATGAGACTCGTGGACGTAGTAAGAGCCGAGATCAGTATCAATATCGAGGTAGATCCAAATCATACCTGACCCTGTCATATGCCTTTTCAAGGTCAATTTTTAAGGCCAAGGAACCCACACGGGAACCTTCCTTCCGTACAAAGTGGAAGGCCTCTTGAGCAATAATACTATGGTCACGAGTCCCCCTCCCAGGGATAAAGCTACCCTTGAGATCAGTTTAAACGAACCAGTTGTTGGACGATTTTTCCTCAATGGCGTTTGGTATAATGTTGAGTATGAGGGGCTCCACTTGCTGTGCTCGTCGTGTGACTGTTATGGACATGTTCGAAGGAGTTGTCCCTCTGCAAATAAGCTTGAGTCGAAGGTCAACGGCGCAGGGGCGAAGGAGGCTACAGAGAAGACGCCAGGGGAATCTTTGCATAGTGCAGTTTTGGATGTTCTGGCAGGAGAGGATTCAACTCCGCACGTTACGGGGGAAATCGCGCCAGATCCGCATGGAGACTGGCTGGTTGTGAAATGGCGCAATCGGAAGCAAAATCTGGGAAAATCATTGGGTAAGGGTCGATCTTCCCTTCATAATGGAAACGCGGAGATAAGGGAGCAAAATCAGGATATCCAGAATTATTCCACGAGTGGTGTACACATCGCGGATGAGTCACGTGCAAGTTTTAAAAATTCACGTGTAGTGAGGGTGACCCCACGTGAACAAGAGCATGCAGCTGGATACACTAATATGGTTGGGGGCCACGTGAGGCATGCAGATGAGACTCCTATGGGCTCCACTATGGACAACAAAAAACGCAGCAGGTGTGAGGCAGCTGGTGCACGTCCACGAACAGGTCCAGCTGGCGGGACAAATGCTTTAGACACGAACGCTCATCAAGTCCGTAGCGCGCAACCCAGTCCGTCTCTCGGGGGCCCACGGTTCATATATGACGGACCGAACGGGGACGTGGAAAAGGGTATGGAAACCAGTGTACTTCTTACCGGTGGCACATCCAAGGAAAATTTCGATTCGGAGGCCAGTGGAATTGTGATTCCGGGGAAGGACGATGCTATGCTATTTGATCAGTCTCTGGAAGGGGAGGCCATGTGTGTTTGAGTGTCGATCGGAACTTATTATTTTAATGACTACAAACTTCAATATTTTGAGTTGGAATATTAGAGGGGCTGTTAATGCCAAGGGTAAAAGGAGGGTTGCGGAGTTAGTCAGGCTCCACCATCCATCTATTTTTATTGTTTTGGAAACTCATTGTCAATTCTCTTCAGTGGAGTCTTTTTGGAAAAAGCTGGATTACAAATTGTATTATAGTATTGAGGCTACGAGGTATTCCGGGGGTATTTGGGTTTTGATGGCAATGTCTTGCACTGCTGTTCTTTCGGAATTTGACTCTCACGCTCAGGCCATCTCGTTTACGGTTGCGGAAGGAAGTAAGAATTGGGTGTGTACTGCCGTTTATGCTAATCCTCGGGTGGAGCTTAGACAGCGGGTTTGGGCTCACCTTCGGGAGTTGGGGCGACGGATTACATTGCCATGGTTAGTGCTTGGTGACTTTAATGAAATTCTACTGTCAACGGAGTGTAGGGGTGGTCGCTTTTCGATGACACGGGCATCCCAATTTCTGGAGGTGTTGAATGAGTGTAATCTTCTTGACATGGGGGCTAAGGGTCTTCGCTTCACGTGGTACCGTAATCAACGTGGGGTTGTGTTGGCGAAGCGATTAGATTGCGTGGTGTGTAATGTTGCGTGGCAAGCATTGTTTCCGGAAGCGTATGTGGAGAATCTGTGCAGGATTTATTCTGATCATTGTCCTCTGTTACTTCGGCGTGAAGGATCGAGAGATAAGTCTCAACATAGACCATTTCGATTCCAAGCTGCATGGGCCACCCATAAGGGCTTTGAGCGAATTGTTAAGGAGGCGTGGCGCCGTAGTACGCCGACCCTTGCTAATGGGTTACAAGCCGTTCGGGTCGATGCCATCAAGTTCAACCAGGAAGTGTTTGGGAATATCATCACTAGAAAGAGGACTTTGCAACGACGTCTTGAAGGGGTGCAGTTACAACTTGAAATTGGGGAATCCGAGAGGCTATCGCGCTTAGAAAAGACTATACAAGCGGAGCTGGACGAAACTTGCCTTCAGGAGGAGTATCTTTGGTTTCAGAAATCTAGAGAGAAGTGGGTGCGATTTGGGGACCGTAACACGTCCTTCTTTCACGCTCAAACTCTTGCGCGAAGACGAAGGAACAAAATACAGGGGTTGCTGCTGCCAGATGGGTCTTGGCACACGGATCCTGTGGTAATGAAAATGGAGGCAGTCAGGTTCTTTAAGGAGTTGTTCTCATTTAACAATGCGCATGGGCCGCTAGACATGCATGCGGGGGTTCCACCGGGCCTGGGTGGAGAGGCCCAATCTGCCTTAACTGCCCCAGTTACGAGGGAGGAGGTTCGTCGGGCGGTGATGAGCATGAAGTCGTTCAAGGCACCAGGGCCGGATGGGTTTCAACCGTTCTTCTTCAAGCAGTACTGGCCTATAGTGGGGGATGAATTATGGCGCACAGTGAAGGATGCATTTCAGTTGGGGTACTCGGACATATCACTCTTGGAGACACAAATGGTGTTAATTCCGAAGGTGGACCATCCGGTTAGTCTCAAAGATTTTCGTCCTATTAGCTTATGTAACGTTGCCTGGAAGGTTATTTCTAAAGTGCTTGTGGTCTATCTTAACTTCACGAAGCGGGAAAATCCGAGTTTTCCCAACAGTAATCTATATATTCTACTAGTAAATTTCTGTGGAGTTGTGCCAACTGCCAAGTAAATTTTCCGGCCTTTCATGCCAATCTTCAGGAACAATTTACCATCAAAGTCATTTCAAGTATATTTTAATGAGAGATATTTCAATATACATGTGATTGCTGGAATGAGATAATGTAAATATTTAGATATCTTGTAGTGAAATAATGTTTTTTTCCTTCAGGGGAATTAAGAAGCAGGTGAACGTTTGACGAAGTATGTGGAGGATGATATACATTTAAGGGGAATTCAGGATCTTTGAAGAGCAATCAAAGATGAGCTTAAATCAGACCACTCTTCCTGTATATATTTGTGTGGCCACTGGTGCGTTTTGATGGCATAATATAGTATAAAGATGTTGCTCATGCCTTTTGTTTTTGGCAGTCTTTTATGAACATGTAGATCCAATATTTGGGAAAATAAATTCTTATATTTGACATTTTTGTTTTCTTTGCAATTTTGTTTGAATCAATCACACTTGTTGCCTATCATATTCATGGCTACGTTCCTTTCTTGCTGAGCTCAAATTGCTGCATATAATGTCATGTATCTCTTAATTTCTTCTGTATTGTCACAAAGCTTTCGATGTTGGGGTTAGATATATAGTATGACAATGGTCGCAATAATCTGGAAAGAGAAAACTAGGCCATGCAAAATTCGTGTTTCTCTTAGCAGACACATATACCAGTATCTTGGCTTTGGCTGTCCCTTCGTTTCATAGAAGGAAATTGCTGTGTCACTTTCTGTTCACGTGAACTATTTTCTATCATGCACTCACTTTGGTACTACTTGACTTTCCTTTCAAATCATTTTCTCTGCTTAGTGCAAGTTTTTCTACACTTCTCTGATATTTATTAGGATAGGTGGAATTTTCAATCCCCCAAAAAATTACTACATCATTCAAGTCTCTGGTGTTTGGAGTTCTTCAATTGAGTAATGTAGCAAAAATCAAATTGTATGTTTAATACACTTAAAAAAATTAAAAAAAATAATAGGGTGCTAATATACACGACATAAAGTTAGGCACATGCGAGTATTCTTATGTTTTCGCATCAAACCAAATATGTAGAGTGTCTATATATATGCATTCGCTTCAGGTTGATGTGGATTTAGAGTATGTTTAGATTCATATTAATTTTGGTTAAACATAGATTAGTGGAATCAACAATTAGTTACATTTGGATTAATTTTGATATGATTTTTATCTAAACATGGATTATAGATTGATGTGAAATCAATTGTGTGCTTAAATTTCAAAGACACTAAACCAAACATAGAAGATACACATTATCTCACACCAATTTTTATGAAGTTAAAAGACTAAGGTGAGAATTTTATAAAGTTGAGAATTAAAATAAGTAATAACTGTTAGTGAAAAATTAGGAATTAGTTACTCTTCAATTACATTGACGTAGCCTCCTTTATGTTGGATAGGAAATAGTTCAGGCGTTTATTTTTTCATTTTGTATCCCCATGAGAAAAATGAAATCATGAAATCTTATGCTGCTCGAACCATTGTGTTAAAGGTTTAATGTTAATATAAATAATAAGTTTGTTAAATTTTATAATAATCATCTTAAAGTTATATAAATTATGAATTTTGATAGATTGATTGTGTAAGACTTTTTATATTATTGGTATATGATTATTAAATTCATAAAATAATTTATAATTTATAATTTCTCTTTTTATCCAATACACAAAATTTAGTTATTAATATTTTTTGGTTATATTTAGTTATTATTTTTAAGAGAAAACTTACACCATTTCTTTATGTACTTTTGATATTGTTTTTTAACTAATATTTTAGCATGTGTATTTTACAAGTTAAACATTTATTATATGTAACTAAATATTATAATAAGTTATATAAGAAAATATTATATTATAATATATAAATTATATTTAAAATTTGAACACGTAATCATTTTTAAACATAAATTATGTTTTAGATTTAAGATAAATAATTTATATTGCGACATCAATAATGCACTTTAAAATATAAAAAATTAATTAATAAATGAATATAATAAATTAAATTAAATTAGATAAGAAGTTATCAGAAATTTTAAAAAATTCCTGTCAAAAAATAACTTATAAAAATACTTTTGTGCAATATAATTGTCTAGTTTAATATATATATATATATAATTTGACTAAAATTTAAATTTCATTTAGATATCCAGCCTAATAAATATTTACCTTAAAGATTTATAAAATCTCGAGATAAAATTTTAATTTTGATTAAAAAATAATATTGCACATGAAAAAAAAAAAACGATTCCAAGTTTTGTATCTTTTTTTTTTTTTTGTAAAGAATGAAAATTAAAAAGCGAGCAAACTCAAGACACCAAGTCTTGCCTTAAAGAAAATAGGATAAAATCTGGAGGACTCTTCCAAAATACATTAGAACCTATGTTCCGTACACCTCAATTAGCTAGCGTATGAGCTACTGAATTTATCTCTCGAGGGATATGACTGACGTGAACGATCCACTCCCTAGCTAGCATGCCCTTAATCCGACAAATAACATCATAATGCTTATGCAGGTAATCCCTATCCGTTGGCCGATCTTGAAACAACGTAACAGCGCCCAGGCAGTCACATTCACAACTCACCTTCCGAAACCCGCCTTCCCAGCAAAACACTAGTCCATCCTCTAAAGCCAACAGCTCAGCACGTAATGCATCACCATGTAAAACTCCACGCGAGAAACCCCCTCGCCACATACCAGCCCAATCCCGAATGGCTCCACCCAACCCCATAGCAAAAGTCTCACGCAACCAGCTCCCATCCGTGTTCAGTTTGACCCACGGGTGCTCCGGAGGATTCCATATGGCATGCTCATCCCATAATCGCCGCTTAGCATTATACACACTGGTCTCCACGATAGACAGAGTCACCTTCCGACGGACCACCGAAATCGGCCAAAGGTCGTCATTAAACAACATATTATTCCTAAAACGCCAAACCCACCACAAGGTAATGGATAGCTGGATAGCCTCTCTATGTAATATAATCCTCTTCAACCACTGAAAACAATCCATTACAGAGAAAAACCACCCCATACTAATCCCGCCAGAGAGCAGCACCTCTCGCGAATATGGACAGTCTCGAAGGGCATGTAAAATGGTTTCGTGAGGGCAAGAGCAACGCGAGCAAGCTCCAGATTCGGCCAACCTCCTATCAGCCCGAACCTGATTCGTTGGAAGTGCTGAGTGAAGGCATTGCCACAAAAAGAACTTAACCTTCTCAGGAATCCTTAACTTCCAGGCCTTCTTCCAAACGTCCTCCCCACCTGTCGGCAATACTGTGGTCAGAAATCGATACCCAGAAGACGCGGTATAGCAACCCGAGCTATCTCCCCTCCAAACAAAGTGATCCAGCCCCAAAGAGGAATTAACTACACTCAATCGTTGGACCAAAAGTAACAGCTCCGCCGGGAGAACAATATGCAAGGCAGTGAAGTTCCAGTTTCCACTAACCCAGCAGTCCGCGACTGTTTTATTGGTGTCCGCAATGTGAACAAAAGGCACTTTCTGGCACCAAAGTCCAGTGCCGGACCAATCCTTGTACCAAAGGGATGAGGCGCCCGACCCCAGGTGAGGCTCGAATCCTTCACGAAGATAAGGGAGGGCCTTGATAAGACTTGACCAGGTTGGAGAAGCACCCTTTCTGTTCGGAGCACACAAGATAGAATTCCCATGTAGATAACAATCACTGAGGAGTTGAACCCAAGGCTTCTGTGGGGCGGTAAGCATATCCCAAACTAACTTCCCCAGGAGTGATACATTCACCTTTCGTGCTTCCCTAACCCCAAGGCCGCCCAACTCTTGGGGTTGAGTAACAACATCCCAGCGCACAAGAGACCAGAACCGAGTGTTGTCAGATTTTGCCCAAAGCATACGACGACAAGCCTGATCGATTCTATTACACACTGCTTGAGGAAGCCACATTGTTTGCATGCTATACACTGGAATAGAGGATATGGTAGACTTCACCAAGCACAACTTACCTGCCTTATTAAGAAGTTTGGACTTCCAAGCTTCCAGTCGACTCTGGATCTTATCTAGTACATCATAAAAATCTGCGCACCTCGGTTGACCATGCGTCATGGGAACCCCCAAATACTTCCCAATCTGAGCCGTATGACCAATCCCAAGGAAACCCTCCAACGTATCTATCCTCCGCCGTGAAACCTTTCGCGAGCTCACAAACTTTGATTTAGCCAAGTTGACTCTCAAGCCTGAAGCGCGCGAAAACTCCTCCAAGGTTGACGCCACCAACTGCGCTTGATCATCTGAAGCTTGACAAAATAGTAAAATATCATCCGCAAAGAACAAGTGAGATAGTGATAACCCCCCATGGGAAAGCTTAATTGGTTTCCAAAGACCCTCCTGGAGCAACTCAGATATCCTAAGGGCTAGACGCTCCATACAGAAAACAAACAAATATGGAGATAAAGGGTCTCCCTGTCGAAGGCCACGAGACGGAACAAAGGACGGTAGAGTGCTGCCATTCCATAGAAGTGAGATGGACGAATTCTTCAACCCCCACATGATAAGTTGAGTTGTGATTCTGGGAAACCCAAACTGCACCAGCGTAGACTCCAAAAAATCCCACCTGACCCTGTCATATGCCTTTTCAAGGTCAATTTTTAAGGCCAAGGAACCCACACGGGAACCTTCCTTCCGTACAAAGTGGAAGGCCTCTTGAGCAATAATACTATGGTCACGAGTCCCCCTCCCAGGGATAAAGCTACCCTGAAAAGGACCAATGACATCTTGCAGGAAAGGTCTAAGACGAGCCACAAGCACTTTAGAAATAACCTTCCAGGCAACGTTACATAAGCTAATAGGACGAAAATCTTTGAGACTAACCGGATGGTCCACCTTCGGAATTAACACCATTTGTGTCTCCAAGAGTGATATGTCCGAGTACCCCAACTGAAATGCATCCTTCACTGTGCGCCATAATTCATCCCCCACTATAGGCCAGTACTGCTTGAAGAAGAACGGTTGAAACCCATCCGGCCCTGGTGCCTTGAACGACTTCATGCTCATCACCGCCCGACGAACCTCCTCCCTCGTAACTGGGGCAGTTAAGGCAGATTGGGCCTCTCCACCCAGGCCCGGTGGAACCCCCGCATGCATGTCTAGCGGCCCATGCGCATTGTTAAATGAGAACAACTCCTTAAAGAACCTGACTGCCTCCATTTTCATTACCACAGGATCCGTGTGCCAAGACCCATCTGGCAGCAGCAACCCCTGTATTTTGTTCCTTCGTCTTCGCGCAAGAGTTTGAGCGTGAAAGAAGGACGTGTTACGGTCCCCAAATCGCACCCACTTCTCTCTAGATTTCTGAAACCAAAGATACTCCTCCTGAAGGCAAGTTTCGTCCAGCTCCGCTTGTATAGTCTTTTCTAAGCGCGATAGCCTCTCGGATTCCCCAATTTCAAGTTGTAACTGCACCCCTTCAAGACGTCGTTGCAAAGTCCTCTTTCTAGTGATGATATTCCCAAACACTTCCTGGTTGAACTTGATGGCATCGACCCGAACGGCTTGTAACCCATTAGCAAGGGTCGGCGTACTACGGCGCCACGCCTCCTTAACAATTCGCTCAAAGCCCTTATGGGTGGCCCATGCAGCTTGGAATCGAAATGGTCTATGTTGAGACTTATCTCTCGATCCTTCACGCCGAAGTAACAGAGGACAATGATCAGAATAAATCCTGCACAGATTCTCCACATACGCTTCCGGAAACAATGCTTGCCACGCAACATTACACACCACGCAATCTAATCGCTTCGCCAACACAACCCCACGTTGATTACGGTACCACGTGAAGCGAAGACCCTTAGCCCCCATGTCAAGAAGATTACACTCATTCAACACCTCCAGAAATTGGGATGCCCGTGTCATCGAAAAGCGACCACCCCTACACTCCGTTGACAGTAGAATTTCATTAAAGTCACCAAGCACTAACCATGGCAATGTAATCCGTCGCCCCAACTCCCGAAGGTGAGCCCAAACCCGCTGTCTAAGCTCCACCCGAGGATTAGCATAAACGGCAGTACACACCCAATTCTTACTTCCTTCCGCAACCGTAAACGAGATGGCCTGAGCGTGAGAGTCAAATTCCGAAAGAACAGCAGTGCAAGACATTGCCATCAAAACCCAAATACCCCCGGAATACCTCGTAGCCTCAATACTATAATACAATTTGTAATCCAGCTTTTTCCAAAAAGACTCCACTGAAGAGAATTGACAATGAGTTTCCAAAACAATAAAAATAGATGGATGGTGGAGCCTGACTAACTCCGCAACCCTCCTTTTACCCTTGGCATTAACAGCCCCTCTAATATTCCAACTCAAAATATTGAAGTTTGTAGTCATTAAAATAATAAGTTCCGATCGACACTCAAACACACATGGCCTCCCCTTCCAGAGACTGATCAAATAGCATAGCATCGTCCTTCCCCGGAATCACAATTCCACTGGCCTCCGAATCGAAATTTTCCTTGGATGTGCCACCGGTAAGAAGTACACTGGTTTCCATACCCTTTTCCACGTCCCCGTTCGGTCCGTCATATATGAACCGTGGGCCCCCGAGAGACGGACTGGGTTGCGCGCTACGGACTTGATGAGCGTTCGTGTCTAAAGCATTTGTCCCGCCAGCTGGACCTGTTCGTGGACGTGCACCAGCTGCCTCACACCTGCTGCGTTTTTTGTTGTCCATAGTGGAGCCCATAGGAGTCTCATCTGCATGCCTCACGTGGCCCCCAACCATATTAGTGTATCCAGCTGCATGCTCTTGTTCACGTGGGGTCACCCTCACTACACGTGAATTTTTAAAACTTGCACGTGACTCATCCGCGATGTGTACACCACTCGTGGAATAATTCTGGATATCCTGATTTTGCTCCCTTATCTCCGCGTTTCCATTATGAAGGGAAGATCGACCCTTACCCAATGATTTTCCCAGATTTTGCTTCCGATTGCGCCATTTCACAACCAGCCAGTCTCCATGCGGATCTGGCGCGATTTCCCCCGTAACGTGCGGAGTTGAATCCTCTCCTGCCAGAACATCCAAAACTGCACTATGCAAAGATTCCCCTGGCGTCTTCTCTGTAGCCTCCTTCGCCCCTGCGCCGTTGACCTTCGACTCAAGCTTATTTGCAGAGGGACAACTCCTTCGAACATGTCCATAACAGTCACACGACGAGCACAGCAAGTGGAGCCCCTCATACTCAACATTATACCAAACGCCATTGAGGAAAAATCGTCCAACAACTGGTTCGTTTAAACTGATCTCAACACAGACCCGCGCAAACCTGCCCCGCGTCATGTTCAAGGTATTAAGGTCTACCTTGACTGGTTTCCCTATGGCTGATGCAATTGTTAAGAGAACACTCTCATCATAGAACATAACACCGAGACCTGGAAACCGGATCCAAACGAGAGTACTATCAACCTTCGTTGATGAAGCGACGAACTCCGGGGACCAAGGCCTAACAATAAGATAGTGATCAAAGAGCATCCAAGGGCCACCGTGCATAACCCGTTCTCTATCTGCCTCCAAGTCAAACTTCACCATGAAGTAACCCTTCGACACGTCCAACAACTCAAACCCTCCTTGAACCTTCCACAAAGCAGGTAACCTATCCCGCAACGTTAAGAACCCCACCTCTCTCCCCAACAGCTTGATCACCAGGCATTGTTCCCATGGTTCACACAACTTTTTAAAGGTGGGTGCCGTAATGCTAAATTTAGGAAGCAACCGATCCCCACCCTCAAATTCTAACGTCATAGTCCCTTCCTTGATAAGGTCCCGAACAACAGGCCGCTGAGTCGAGGCACCCAGTACCTTCTCCTTGAAGGTCATCGTCTGATTTGCCCTGAGGCTCCCAACACCCCCATCCGGCGGTTTCAATGGTGGTTGACTCTCCACAGGCATTCGCCAAATTCTCTCCACAGGCATTCCCCAAAAATCTTAAAAAAAAGTTTTGTATCTTTGAAAACTTGTGACACCATTTTTTAATTAAAAATGGTTCACTTAGCAAATAACTCACATTTATCATTATTTAATACTGTTAGTTTTTAATGTTACTAAGATGAAATTTAATTTTAACTAAAGAATAACATGAAAAACACTTAAGATCTTACGCTGAAATTTTGTCCAAAAATAATTTCCGATAGGAATCATACCATAGCATTATTGTTACTTATGGTTGAAAATATTAAATATGAGAAGGTCGAGCATTATTATCATTTGACTGTATAAGAAAAGAGAGATGCGAAAAAGACAGAAGGAAAGGAAGATAATGGGAGGAGATGTAAGAATAAGTCGACATCTTGAGTGTGGGTTTGGTTGCTCCAGTGCAAGGATTACGACCAAACATTACCTTCTCTTCTTTTGGACCAAATATGTCTACAAATGTCTAAGATTTTGTTCTAAATTTAACGGTATTCATGTCACCACGCTTCTCAAAAACCTCCATCCATCCCACACTTCAACACTTGAGTGTGTGTTTGGATGAAGAATTTTACAAATTTAAGGAATTTTAAATTCTTGGTATTTGAATTACTTTGATTTCAATTTCTATCATTCTTAAAATATTTTGTTTGGATGAGTCAATTCAAATTTCTTAAATTTTAAATTGTTAGATGATAATTTGATTCCATCATAGTAAAATTGATTTTAAAAATATATTTATATGTTGAGATTTTTAAATTAAATTTTATAAAAATAAATATTAATCCATTTTTAAATATTTAATAATTTTAAAAATTAATATAAGATAATATTTAATAATTTTAAAAATATTTTTGAATATCTAATAATTAAAAGAATGAAGAGATAAGATAAAATATATAGGTGAAATAAGAAAAACAAATATGAGGAATTTCAAATTCTCCCATTTTTGGAAGAATTTGAAATTCTATTATTTTAAGGAATTTCACAAATGCTTGGATTTCAAATTCTTTGTAAATTCCTCATCCAAACAAAACATTTCACCTCAAGAAATTTGAAATTCTTCAAATAAATGAATTACCCTATATAAATTCCTCGTCCAAACACACAATAAAACCTTTGACTTGTTACTTTTGCTTCTCCATTCTCATCAGATCAATTTCCAAAGCTAGATCAATTTAGATTTTCATTGCAAGTTAATTAAAAATGTGAATGGTCACTGCGGAATCTCACTTTAAATCCACATTTTCTATGTGGATGTAATTAATTAATAAGCTTCTGCCAAATTCTTTTACAAAGTGGTACAAGTCAATTATATATGCAGTGGAATGAGAATGGACATCTTCCCTTAAATTGTGGGCCACTACCCTGAGCTGAGCTACTAATTGAAGAATCCATGAATAAAAATGCTTATGGAAGTACATACTAGTGATGTTATATTTATGTTTTATAATTAATGATTATACATGATGATATAACTTCATTTCTAAATAGATTGATCTAATAAAAGGAAATTATTCTTTTAATTATATTAAAACAATTAAATACAATTTTTAAAGATTACAGTGGAATTGTATTAAAAACTATGAAGGTGTGTACATATTTTTTTTTAATAAACTTTTTTTTATGATTTTTCGATGAATATTTGAAAAACATTTGTTAGTATTCTAAATTATAATGTGATAATTAAAATTATGTTTTAGTTTTATTTTTGCCTCTCTTCTAACAAATATAACATTAAATAGGTGAAACTTATTTAGATATTTATAAAAGAAAGAGAGACATTCAAATACAAACAAAAAAACTTAATTGCTCAACACTTGAAGCTTGATAGTGTGTTTGGATGAGAAATTTTATAAATTCAAGGAATTTTAAATTTTTGGTATTTGAATTACTTTGATTTCAATTTCTATCATTTTTAAAATATTTTGTTTGGATGAGTCAATTCAAATTTCTTAAATTTTAAATTGTTAGGTTGAATATGAAAATTTGATTCCATCATAGTAAAATTGATTTTAAAATTAATTTATATGTTGAAATTTTTAAATTAAATTTTATAAAAATAAATATTAATCCATTTTTAAATATTTAATAATTTTAAAAATTAATATTAGATAATATTTAATAATTTGAAATTTTAATATAAGATAATATTTAGTAATTTTAAAAATATTTTTGAATATCCAATAATTAAAAGAATGAAGAGATAAGATAAAATATATAGGTGAAATAAGAAAAACAAATATGAGGAATTTCAAATTCTCCCATTATTGAGAGAATTTGAAATTCTACTATTTTAAGAAATTTCACAAATGCTTGGATTTTAAATTCTTTGTAAATTCCTCATCTAAACAAAGCATTTCACCTCAAGAAATTTGAAATTCTTCAAATAAATGAATTATCCTATATAAATTTCTCATCCAAACACACCATGATTGTTTTGCATTCAAACAGAATTCTCCCTAAAAAAAAAAAAAACAAAAAAAAAAACTATTGCTGCCCATGGAGCCGTCCTTTCAACCATTTATAATGTATCAAAAAGTGTTTCATGGTGAAAGAGGAGAAACGAATGTTAATATGATCCAGTAAATATCTAAAGATAAGGGGGAAAGGCACATTTTTGCTCCATTGAATTTTTTTTAAAAGATGAATTATACCAAATGATTTTTTTAAGAATATATATTTTATAAAAATATATAAAAACTAAAGCACTAATTATAAAGTTGTATATATCTAGAAATAACATTATTAATCAGTGTTCAACCTAAATCCATTTCAAAAAAATAAAGAAAAAAATTTAATAGTAACCAAAGTTAACACTCATTCATTTTTATGCACTAAAATCATATTTAAAATATTACTATTATCATATTAGTTTCTCTTATTTGAAAGATCATGCACTATTTTTAGAGATTTTATCTTTTAATGTTTAGATTTCTTTTTTGAATTAATTAGGATTCAATATTTTTTTTAAAAATCAATATCCTCCTTTGCTAAAAAAATATTAATCCTAATTAAATATATTATTTAACATGTGAAATATTAATCGAATCAAACTAAAAAAATCTTCAAAAATAATAAGAATAATTACCTAAAAATTATTTATGAAAGGTCACTTAAAGAAGTAAAAATTCCAAAATTTGATTGTACAATATAATATTTTTTTTAAATATTCTTCTCCATTAAATATAATTCTCCTTCCTAAAACTAATTCGCATTTGTCGATATTAACGAATCATATTCATCTAAAATATTTCCATAAAAGAAAGCATCATATCTCGTCATCGTCAATGACGGAAAGCAATACAGAAAATTAAAGTTCACGACCAACATAAAATCCAGAAAAAAAAAAAGAAAAAAAAATGCAACAACACAATCCTTACTCATACGCCAATTTATTGTTAAATAACAAATCTAAACTACTCCTCTAACAAAATAGAAGTCCTAAACTTTTTTTTATTAGAATGATGGTGAATAGAGAAAAAAATCATATGACTACTAGGAAGGGTTAATGACATATTAAGGATCTTCAAGTTAAACATTATCAGTTAAAATTCAGTAGTATTCAACTTAACTTAGAATTTTACTTGTTGAATTAAAAATTAGCAGAAATTCACAAGAAAAATTTTACCTTTAACATCAATAAATCTTCTTGAGTAGATATATCTATCATAATAGTATTTTAATGATCTTAGAGACTGTTAAATCTGGATCATGAATAAGTAAATTTGGACAAAAATCTAAATCATTTGTCAAATTAAATAGCAATCCTAGATAATTATTATACTAATTTCCCAAATTACAAAATTAAAACCAAATTATTAAAATAAAAAAAATCTTAACATAATAATGAGAAAAAATTTAAAACGGTGAAAAATATAAATATAATAGTAAGGCAATATTTTATAAACAATACTCCAAATGAAATGGTAGTTTGTTTACAAAAACAAAATCATTGAGCCCAACATGGTCGTTTCTCACAATAGAAACTAGATAGTTGCCCTTTCTATGTATTAACCATTTCAGTTAGATACTTGTATATAAATGAAGTCAAGGCCAACTTTCTAATCTCCAGAAACATTAATGGATCATAATGTTATACTCTAAAAAATTAAATTCAACCCCTAGTTTAGGTGCATTGGCATTTACAGTAAACAATAATAAATAAAAAAAAATATCCTTCGAATTAACTATAATCATGATATTGTGAACGAAATTATTCTCTAACCAATATACTGAATAGCAAGATAAATAAATAAAGAAAAGAAAAGAAAAGAACAGAAACTTAATTTGATTTAAAAAAGTGGGTGTCATTTCATGTCAAAACTAGATTCAATGAAACTGGGGCCTCAGGCAGAGCTTACAAGTTACAATTACTTCAGCTTAGCATCATTGACTTGGATCTTTCCTATAGTTTGGTAATTTACACACTAATCAAGATTGAAGAGGTACCCTAACACACGAAAAGCATGTAATTGGATTGGTTGAACAATGTGGCTAAATTAATATTGTTGTAAGGAAGGAAGCAGAGGAAGAGCAGTGAGAGTTAATTTGTTGAGTCATGCCAGCACAAGAGCAAGACAGTGCATCTCCAAATGATGTAAAGCCGAGTCCTCTGCTGCCTAATGTAGTTGGAACACCGTCCCCATGGTCGAACCTTTGAACTCCTCACTGATGAGAACACACTAGTTGTCATTTTGAAACTTATTTTGTTCAGTTTGTGAAACTTACATAAAACCATAGTTATATATATGGGAAGATATGAAGGAAATGAATTTGTGGTGGATTTGGTATTAGGACATGTCCCAATGTCTACCTAAGATATCTAAGTGACACCTATGACCTTGTCTCCTTATCGCCAAACCCATTCGATAACGACTTCTCATCCACTTCTTCTACTAAGTAAGCCTCTTCTTTGTCCCCCCTCCATCAATAATCGCTATCCCTTAACTTTTGTGGGATGCTATTCAACTATCTTATACTCTTACTACTATACTATTTCTATATTTATCTTCCATTTTTTCCTTTCTTTCTTTTTCATTTCATCAACCTATACTCACACACACGGAATCAACATATATATCTCTTCGTCTCCGAACTATAAGGGACTCAAATGTGTTCAATTCATGATATTTGAATCAATCATGGACATGAAAATATATATATATATATATTATTGAGAGAGGATCTCGATCCCACTTTAGCACCTGAGTTTTAAGAAATTCGTTGTTGTTCATCTGTCACAGATAATTCAATGTGTGGAAGGGGGACACAGGGATAAAGATTATCAATAGACTACAATTATAGGCAGTGTGTGGGGAATAAACACTCAAACTTGATAAAAGTATGAGCTTGATTTTTTTTAGCCAATAAGAAAGTTGAGATTTTTGTTATGTACGAACCACAATTATCCTCCACGATAGACCATCATAATTTACAGACAAACTTAAACTATATAATATTGTTCAACTTAATTAAAGTTTTCCATTCTTTTTTCTCCACCAACATTACAATTATGTTTTTTTATCAGAAAAATTGCAAAATTAATTTCTGAATAATGCTTATATAGGATTTGTTGGACTTCAAGATCTAACTTTTACAATATCTACCACATGTTTGATATTTGTAAACTCTCCTTTAAAACTAATGCTATTTCTAGATAACCAAATAGATCATTTTTTTTTTTCCTGTAATAGCAACAGTATTAATGATTCTTGTTATTATTGGGCATTACTATCAAACTTCGAGGCTCGAGCCCACTGTAACACTTCTGATATATATTACTAATTTCATATTTGTTACATTGCGAGTACTAATTTCATATTTTATTAAAAAAAATGACTAACATAATGCGTATAATATATTCATGGATTAGGATAAATTGGTATATGTGCGTGAATTATCCATACATGATGAACAATAATGATTACTTGTGGACAAATATCTTAATCAATTAGGAGCAATGAATTATAGCAATTCGACGAATATCTTGCCTGTTCACTAGATTCAATATTCAAATTAAGAAAACACATAAATATTCTATCAAATAAATGCAAAAAGACAATTCCCTGGCAACAATTAAAAAAAAAGCGTTTAATTATATTTTGTATCCCTGAAATTACACAACTCAGAAAAATTATTTTTAAACTTTTTTTTTTAACCTTCCAATTTATAAAACTAGTGTAATAATCCGTGTCATGCATGGTATGTTTTTATATTGCAATATTTTTTATAATATATTTATGTATTTAAAAATAAATGTTATTAATTTTTTTATGTGAGCTTAATATTTTAAAATACTATTTTTGTAAAGATATTTGTAACATCCCAAATTTTATTCAATGAAAAAGGGTTA